CCCCCCCCGCTGCCCCGGTGTGAGGGAGGGGTAACCGGTCCCGGGGCAGACAGCTCCGGCCTTTCGGCCGGTTGTCAGGCGAGTGCAGAAAGCAGCGTGTCGGTCTAGGCACCTTCCTGGGAAAGGCTGTCTCCTTTCTCGATTGCTGCTAGCTCTTCCATGAAACTGTCGCTTATTATTTTTTCTCCCCCCTCCCCCAGAAGATAAAACCTTTGTATCCCCCTCAAACACCCTTGATTGTCTACCGTGACACAATCTCTCTGCTTCCTTCCACTCTTTCTCCCTCCTTCCCCCCCTCTTCCCCCCCGTGGGTTGATGCAGTAGTCAAAGAGAGTTCTTCATGACAGTGTTCGTTTTATGACAGGAGCCTCTGAGGTTGAATAATAAACAATTACGTTCTTTCTGTTGATTTCTTCCTAAAATCTGTTTGGTCTCAGATGTGGGTTTATGAAATACCATATATAAGGGCTGACATGTTTTCTGTAGTTCCAGTAGAAAAGAGCTCTCTTATTTAAGGTTCCTCTGCAGTGCTTGCAACCAAAGGACTGCAGCAGAATGCTTTTCGGTGGAAAAAATTAAGGGTATTTGTTTTACAGCCTTCCAGTGCTCTAATGTTGCTTCATGACTGAGAGGAGGAAATCAATCTGAAATTTTACGTTTAGTTTATAGGATTTAAGAGTACAGTCTAGTGTTCAAAAACAGGTATCAAGACAAGCTTTTTAGCCTGATGTGCTTTTTAACTTCCAGCTGCTAGGTACCAAAATACTCTGTTGATACTGTAAATGGATTTCTGTGAACTGGATACACTAGAAACCAGCAACAAAGTTCACTGAACTACTGGTTTGTTTCATAAGCATATGGGTATTTTGCAGTTTATTAGATAGTAAAAACAGAAACAAGATGACTGACAACTTTTTCAGCTTCTGTTGCAATTTGGGTTAAGCTTTACATTCATAACATTCTTATTTAACAGGTGGTATGCCAATGACCGGTTAAGTCAGAACAAATGTGTTTGTTTCCCATTACCACTTAACGTGTGTTTGAGTTTCAGGTTAAGAAGCAATGTTGTAATGTCAGTAGTTCAGTGATTGACTTGTACCTATTAGATTATTTCTGCCAGTGTCTTGTGTTACCTTCATACTTGTTTAAATATGGCAGTTGCTTGTGGTTATATGAAGGTGTTATAAGCTTCAGACTTTTTATTATGCTTTTGAAATGTACTTCAAAGCATTTTTAATACTGATGGCTGAGTTTTAATAAAAACAAATTGCCTTGCTGCAATGGTAGTTATGTTGCAAATTAGAGCTTACTGAATCTAAATCCTAAAATAGTAAATATTTTGCTTTTTTGAAGAGCATTTAGATGCTATTATGAACAGTCAGTCATTAGGCGGTCAGGTATATGTATATGTAAATTGACACTTTGGCAGTGCCCCTTAGTTTTCCAGGTTTTCATCCCAGCTATTTTACTTCTGGACTGTGAGGACAAAAAAAAAAAAAACCCATTGGCAGGAATAATCAATGTATAATGTCAAAGTAATGTGAACATAACACCTGTACAACTGAACCACATGTTTTTTTAACTCGAGAATTCACATTTTGAAAAGTGAAAAGTTAGTGCTGTAACTTGTTATGTGATGGCATTGCTTGCAATCAAATCCATAGCACCTTTTTCCTTCCTGATCCAATTTTTTTCATGGCTAACAAAAAAATATAATGGCAGGAGTAGAGACTTTAATGCTGCTAGAACTGAGTTACTGTAACAAGCAGGCATTGCTATAGTTTTGTATCAACAAATTAAATTGAAGTGCTTAGAAGGTAACACTCTTTTCTATTTTCTTGTGATTTGTATTGATCAGACTTGAAGTAATTGATTAAGGCCATTTCTTGACTGGTCATATCTTTACATTCCTGATTTTTGGGATTGAAGTTGTATCTGAAGACTAGAAAATAGGAAAAAATGGATTGTTCCTTTTCCTGCTTTTTTTTTTTTTTTGGTTGGTAGTGTTTTTTCAGATGGGGAGCAGGATTACCTCTGAGTGCTTTTATTGGTTATGATCTTTTTGCCATCAATATACCTCTTTCTCTGTTCCATAACATCCTGTCCACATAAGTTTGTGTGAATTATTTTATTTTGTTCTTATGAAACATAAGAATAGCTATACTGGTGACCGTGAACACATTAAATTTTCCGAGAAGAAATGAGATGTAGACTGCATTCTTATGTGTGTGTTTTTTATTTTGTTTGTTTGTTTTTGTCTGAGAAGATGCATTCATCATAAAACTTTAACTGCCTTCAGGACATAAGGGTTATGTGTAGGACGTGCTTATGATGCTACACTACATGTCACCTTTACTAAATACTGTACTGAAAGAGTTGCTCTATGTAGCCTTGAACATAGTGTTCTCTTTTTTTCACTGAAAAAGAAAAGTATTTATTGCATTCTTAGAAATAGCAAACCCAGAACTGTGTGATACTCTTGCAAACAAGAAATACTTTTGACTGAAGCAGCCATGGTGGTTGTTTTTGTCGCAAAATTATTGCAGATGTATCTCCCTTTTCAACCACATAGTCTATAACCTGTTTTGGAGAGCCTCATTTTCTTTTTATTTTGTCCCATAGGATTTTTTTTTTTTTTTGGCTGTACGTTTTGGAAAAATGTTGGAAGTATTTTCCTTAGTGAGTACAATTAATGCTTTTCTCTGTGGATGGTAGTTACAAAATTGCATGCCTCTGAAGATAACTGCTAGCCTTATTCCTTGGACACTAGCGAGCAGGCAAGAAAAAGTCACTTATGGAAAGCACCCAAGAAGAAATGCAGTGGAAAAAGGAACGGCTGCAGCCAAGCAGGATGTAATACTTCCTATTTCTTGCTTAAGTTTTGGGTATTGTTCTTTTATGGCATATATGAGGATAATATTTCGTGCCAAAGGCTTAGAGCTACTTATAGTCTGTACACTGTCAATAAGATGATAGGAGAAAGGGTGATGGATGCTATATAAAAAATATTGTGATGAACTGCATCTCTGAGGAGGAATATTTTTCCCTTGCACCTGTTACTGCAGAGCTTTTCTGGTTTTGCCACAGCTGAGATCTACATTTTTGAATGCATCTAGGCAGAATCTTTTGGGGCTTCTTGTAAGGTTTAGAGTAAAAAAGCGGTTGAGCATGTGTACCTGTATGTGTAGGGTAGGGTGGTTGTTTTTTTTGTTTTAGTAGCAGGAGTGAGAATATTGAAAAGTCTGGGGAGTGCTTAGTGGTGTTTGGGTTTTTTTTTCTTTTTTTGTCTAGTTAATTTTGTGTGAAATTGCAACTCTTCTTGGAAAGTTAGCCATGACCGATGTATGCTTAATGTCTGACTAGGCAATATACAAGTCACAGTGTGGAGCTCTAATATTACAGTGTGTATTAATATCTCTTTACATGCTATATATGTTCCTGAGCTATGAAGACAGATAACATGACTGATAAAACACAGACCAAAGGTGTGTATCTGCAGTAGTTTTCTTATTCATCTGGAAGATAATTCAAAAATAATAGCATTTTTTCAAATGAGTACACATTTGTAATGTATTCAGTCTAAAACCTTTCCTAACAAGTCCAAAGTGGGCATTGTTTATTCCTAATTTAAAAGCAGAATTGATCCGCATCCTTTCCTTAGAGAGGTTGCTACTACTACAGCTCTACGTTGTATGGTCTATAGTAGTCTATATATATAGACTAGACGTAATGTCACTTTAATACTCTTAAAACGCAATTTATTTTAGGAGTTTTCAGTGACGTTGAGATGAAATATATTGCAGTGAATTCAGAGATGTATAATTATTAGCAATACTGATGTC